GGGCATTTATAGAGGTCTAGATAAAGACATGTACATATGCAAATATATTTATATATGAGGATGGGGAAATAGATGTATGTGCATATATTTATAGGTTTAGTATTAAGGTAGCAGTAGGATATTGGGCCTCCACTCAGGTACTCCCTCAATGCAAGAATACCTTTTTCTATTTAACTTAGTATAAGATGATTGCTAAATGAGTAATATTTTTAATAATTGTTGGACTTATTCCCCACCCACGCCCCGCTTCCTTAACAGGTTCTTATCATCCATTGGAGGAACATTGTACGAGATTGGAAAGCCTGAAATGCAACAAAAAATAAATTTTTTGCTTGAAAAGGAAGGCATAAATAAAATTGCAGAAGGATTGCAAACACCAGTACCCACCTTACAGGTCATCATCGATGGTCTCAGTCAACCTGAAAGCTTTGACTTTCGAACCGGTAAGCAACATCATCTGAATTATAGCACCTTGCGTTTGCGTAGTCCTATCATCTGCTTCCATCCTTGCAGCAAGCTCACACAGTAGGCAAAACATATTATGAGGTGAGTCTTTAAAAAGCTCATGAAAAAAATCCATGATCTTTTCACTTTATTTTTCCACAAACTTTCTGAAGCCCCCTTCTTGTCTTCCTCATCCTGTAGATGAGACGTTAGAGCAGAGTCATCTCTTTCAGAGTCAGTAGAGTTCACTCATATCCAGGACCAGACTTAGGACACAGGCCTCCACACTGCGAGGCTCCTCGTTGCCCTCACCCTGCACTCAGTGCCTCCTGCGTGCACTGCAGTATGCGTGGAGACGCATTCCTCATGAAGGGTTTAAAGCTGTTTGTGTCTCCTGAGAGCCTGAAGTGCAAGGTACAGCATTGAGGAGACCAACTAAAAAGTGAGTCGTCTTCCTAAATCCCAGCCTTCCCAGTCCCTGGGTCCTGTGTCAATGAGCACGTTGAACAAATAAGATAACATCTCTCTGTTGATTTTCCTTCTAATTAAAAGTGCTCTCGGCTTTCAGCCCAGGTAGATGGCAAAGGAAGTATAGCAGCCGTAGTTGTTGAGAGCAACGACCCGGTGAAAAAGAATTAAGGTATCAAATGACCGATTTCCCAGGCAGGTTTGAATAAGAACCTCTGAGGTTTGAATGACCAATTTTTATGACACCCTGTTTGAGGCTTGATTCTTTTCCTTTTGAGTTAGGCTACCTTGAAGTACTGTGGCCTGCTTCTTGAGAAAAGTGTAAGGAAATGTAAAGACTCATCCAGAAAGTTCATTGTACTATCCCTTCAACTTTTCTGTAAGTTAGAAATTCTAGAAGTTGGAGAAAAATAAAATACCCAGGAGTATCTATCCCAGAGACATGGGCATAGAAGCCCCCAGCGGTCCTCCGCACACAGTGGGTGTTTCAGTAGGCAGTCCAACTCCATTTTGCATGGATCCCATGGCATTTTCTTAGCAGGAACAGTTGATCGATAAGTGGTTCCCAAACAGGGTGGGAATTAGAAATGGTATGCCTACAACTGAGGCATTGCTGGTTCAGTGACAAAATTCACAAGTTCAGAGCCTGAGGCTGGGTTTGACTCCAGGCCGGTGAAACCATCTGTTCTTGGTGCTTTAGTTTGCCGTAATGCTGAGTAGGTGTCAGTGGTGCTTCCTGAGTAACATGGACTAGGAAGAAAGGCCGGGTGGTCTGCTTCCAAAAATCTTACAGGCAAAACGTATCACTCACAACAGTTTGATCTTCACTTGATCTGTGGGGGTGGTGCAGGCCTTGGCAACAGTTTGTTCGTTCCAGCATGTGTTGGGGTTGCCACGCATTGGGGCCTGCGTCAAGGCAGCTAAGAGCAGCAGCAGCAGCATGCCTAGAACTGCTCATTACACAAGGGAGGAGATGTGTTCTCGCTCCCTCAACCCTAAGCTCACTCGACTCCTCCGTGATCTCCCGTGGTGTCGATTGCTCCAGTGGCCCAGCTACACTGCAGGGCCAGAGCAAAGAGCAGCCTTCAAACTCTATGGTCCTGCCCAGTAGCCACCAGCTGAGAGAGGACCTCACCTGCTGACTCCCTTAGTCTGACTAGAATCACAGGTGTACCCAGGCTGAGCTTTCCATTCTGCAGTGGGACATCAGTGCAACCAGTGAAGTTTCAAATAAGCCTCTTTGCTACGGTATAAGTTACAGTGTTCTCGTTGTCTGAAAATTGTCGTTTTACTACTCCATATGTGCCCTAGAGGGAAGACAGGTGAGTTCAGCTTTTGCGGAGACAGATGGTATTTTATTGGCATCCACAGGTGTAGTAGTTATATTGCCTGTCGTCTCTATGTTCTCAGAAGGGTTCCCGTTTCAAATGCTTCACCCCGCACTCACACTCTCCCTGTCTTCTGTTTTCTCAGTGACATGAGCCATTCCATTTCTATTGGCACCCTCTGGTTGCTAGTTAATTTTCATAATTGGGCTCATCAGAGGCAGCCTGGGGACAGAGGACCTAATGTGCAGTCGAAGTGGTTGAGTGTGCTTGGTGCACCGAGGACTTCCTGGTTTCTCGGTGGCCCAGGCTGTCTTCAGGAACACACTAAGTAGTTCCTTACTCAGATTTTGCATGCAAAATTAAACCAAGCAGCTGCCCGGGAACCTTTGGGGGATCTGCAGCAGCTGGACCTGTGCAAGGAGAGAAGGAAGAAGAGCATTTCCAGCTGAAAACATGCCGAAGGGCCTCTAAGGACCAGCAGCGTGGCAAGGGGAAGGAGCTCAGGGCAGCCTCCAAGTTGGGTGTGGGGCGCACTTTCAAGGTGGCTAGGCATGGATAGTGGCAAAGTGGTAACAGAGTGTTTCCCGAACTGGTCCAGCTGCCTCAGTCAGATACCTTTCATATTGTTGGGACTTTGCAGTGCCGGTCTACACCTTGTCTGGTGTCCGCTTGGACTTGCAGCTGTGGGGGAGTGTAAGTGACTCCACTCCTCCCCCTCCCACCCCCACACTCCTCTGTGTCCACCATTGAGGAAGGAAGCCAGGTTGCACTGGGTTAATAGAAACTGTTCCCCTCCCCCTTCAAGTGGCACTTGTCATACCTGTCATATCTGAGATGACACCTCCGGGAAAACCATCCCACTTCTGCCCTGACCTCTGATGCTCCGACACACTCCCATGCTCAGGGTAGTATGACATTACCAGAGCTTTCTTCTTTTGGAATTCACAGACTCAACTTTAGGTGAAATTCTACAGAAACAATTCAGATTTCAGTGCATCTTTTTAATGAGCAAATGTAATTTTGATCCTGAAGGTTTTTGTTTTGTCTTTACAGGAATTTTATACCTGAATTTAAAAAGCAAAGGGAAAGGGGAACTCTTGTTTCTTCATGCGGGGGCCTGCGGGAGGGAACTAAAGAAAGGGGTGACCAGTTGTTGATACAAACGTCAAGGAAAGCTTTCAGAGTCATCAGGACGAAGCCAGCAGCTGCGGAGGAGCAGGGAGGGTGGAGGGGAAAGGAGGACTTCGTCAAAGGAGCCCCGAGCATAGAATGTGGCCTTTGTTGTTATTGTCCACATTCTGTAGTCCTTGGAAAGGGCCAGCAAAGCACGGATAAATGGAAGCCACAGATCACCTGAAAGCTCTCGTTCAACTGGTAGTTCTAACCTTCTGCCTCATAAAACCTTCACTTTTGCTTCAACTAGCGCCATAGTGATTTCTTGGCGTAATTTATGTCCACCTACTCAGGGATTATATAAAAGTACCTTCAAAAAGCTTGTTGACAAATGGGATTTTTCCATGTTTCCATGAACTTGAAGTAGCTCTGTTATACAAACGAACAGGGAAGGGAGCTGGGGGCACAGTGGTAAAGTGCTTAACGAAGGAAAGGTTGGCAAGATTCACAGCCCTGAAAATTACAGGACATTTTCATTCTGCTGTAGATGGTCGCTAGGACTCTGCTCGATGGGCAGTGGCTTTTTGAGTTGGCTTATTAATGAGCAGAGAGAGATGGGGAAGAGAGAAGGTGGTGGTAAGGAACTTAAGAACAGAAGTCTAAGTGCCTTCATCTTGGTATCCCTATCATGGAGCACAGTGCCTGGCCTGGGGACAGTCCCAGCCCACTGCCATGCAGTCAGTTCTAGTGCATAGTGACCAGACAGGACAGGGTAGGAACTGCTGGTTAGGATTTTTGAGATTGTAAATCTTTATGGGAGCCGACAGCCTCATCTTTCTCCTGCATAGTGTCTCGTGGGTTTGAACTGTTGTCCTTATGGTTATGAGCCCGACACTTAACCCTACATGCCATAAAAATAGGAGTTAGGGTTTTTTTGTTTTTAAAGGAGTTCCTTTGTTTTCTTTCTCCTTTATTGCTGCAAATTTCACTCTGAGTACCGCTAATGCTACCTGAAAAGTTTGGGTATGTTGTGCTTCTTTCCCATTTGATTCAGAGAAGTTTTCATTTCATGGTTTACTTCTTCTATTGCCCAGTAGTTTTTTTAAGCTGGGTGTTATTCATATTCTATGTATTTGTATTTGTGCCCCCCCCCCTCGCCTTGATTTTCCTTTTGTTGATTTCTTATTTTATAGTGTTATGAGCTGAGAAGATGCTTTGTAATCCTTTGTGTTTTTCAACTTGTTAAGGCGCTGTGCCTAACCTACGGTCTACTCCAGAGGCTGTTCTTGTGTTGTTGGATGGGATGTTCTGTAGATGTCTAAGAAGTCCAGTTAGTTCATTGTGTTGCTTCGTTCTTCTGTGTCCTTGTGTTTCTTTCTATTCTTGCTGAAAGTGGTCTGTTAAAAGCTTCTCTGCTGTTAGAGTGGTTTTCTTCTGTCTCCAGTTCTGCAATATATTTTGAGGCTCTTTCATTGGATGCATAGATATGATGGTTCTGTACTCTCTTCCAATTGTCCCTAAATCATTACTTAATCCCCTTCTTTGTCTCTTATGCTACATTTTGTCTTAAAATCTGTTTTATCAGAAATTAATATTGCCACTCCTTTTTGATTGCCCTTTGCTTGATTCCTACCACCACCACCACCCCCAATCCTTTGATTTTTGGGGTCTATATTTGTCTTTATAGCGAAGGTGTGTTTCTTGTAGTGAGTTATATACGAGTCCTAATCTCTTATCCATTGTTCTACTCTCTGTCTTGACTGGTGCAC